TAAACCATGTCCCTAAGCGCCGCATCTACACGTCTTTTAAATACTTCCAATGTTTAACCACTCTTTCAGTAAAGAAATTTTTCCTCACATCCAATCGAAACCTCCCCTGGCGCAACTTGAGGCCATTTCCTCTCATCCTATCACTAGTTGCTTGGGAGAAGAGACCAATACCCACCCCACTACAACCTCCTTTCAGGTAGCTGTAGAGAGCGATAAGGTCTCCCCTCAGCCTCCTTTTCTCCAGGCTAAACAACCCCCGTTCCCTCAGCCACTCTTCATAAGACTTGTTCTCCAGACCCTTCACCAGCTTTGTTGCCCTTCTCCGGACACGCTCCAGCACCTCAGTGTCCTTCTTGTAGCAAGGGGCCCAAAACTGAACACAGTATTCAAGGTGCAGTCTCACCAGTGCCGAGTAGAGGGGGACGATCACTTCCCTACTCCTGCTGGCCACACTATTTCTGATACAGACCAGGATGCCATTGGCCTTCTTGGCCGCCTGGGCACACTGCCAGCTCATGTTCAGCCGGCTGTCGACCAGCACCCCCAGGTCCTTTTCCATCAGTCATTACCAAGGGCCCCAGCTCTCCCTTGTACCTGCAGCAAGAAAGGCAATGAATAACTAAACAAGACAAATCTAAAAAGGTGGTACAGAAAGATTTTTTCTTTTTTACCAGATTTTTACCAGAGGTAAAGGATTTACCAGGACTTTCAGAGCTCCACTGCAGCTCCTTCAGTAGCTGTCCTACTAAACAGCTAGCCAAGTTTCACAGGTGACTATTCTGCAGTAAGTTTCCCTATTGGTAAGTGCATTTACACATTTGTTATGTACATTAGAGGAGGTTTACATTATTGCTCCTAAATCCACACTCTAAAGTAATTCTGACCAGGTTCTCTCAATTTTCTATCTCTATGGTGGTCTTGATATTATATGATGGGGATGCTGCCATCCATCAGAAGCATGCAAGGACAAGTGTCAGCCTTCCATCCTGCTCTAGAGGAGCACCTTTCATTGGCCAGGCTAGAAGCTTTTTGCAGATAGATCCACTATTCAAGCTACTAGAAAACTAGTTCTTACTCATATAGTGAACTTTGTGCCCTCCCTTAAGCACAAATAACCCTGTTCTGAGAGATTACATAAGATATCTGTAAGGTAGAAACACAGGTTGCAATAGTAACACTACATCCTTTGTGTTCCTAACTTGTCTTGTCCTTTCCTAGGAAGAAAGTCTCATCCCTAGGCATTTTAGCCATAGAGCAGGTATATGAGTTCTCATAGGAGGAGACTTGCTGTTGCATGACACATCAGCAGTAAGAGTTGAGTACATTTTGCTGGAGGAGCTAGTTCCTAGTTGACGTTGTCCTGAAGCCTCCTGACTGCCAAGGTAAAGGTCTATTATCCTGTCTCTCAGACCTAATTGTTCTGTTCAAGAGATAATCCTCATTAAGTATTTCAGCTCTCATCTTATTGCTTAAGGATGCAACATAAACTGACAGAGCAGTAGGAAATTCAGCTCCAAGGCCAATAGTCTGCCCTTAACTGGCCCCATAATGTCTGAGCTTTGAGATTTAAGGTGACATGCACCAGCTATGAAGCTTTATTAGAAGCTTTTTTTAAGAGTCCTACAGAGAGTTGGGAGTAAAGGTCTGCAGGGCATTTCAGCTGAGACACTTCATCCTCAGGCACTCCATAGCATATGCAAGTCACATCCTTTCAGAAGAGGGGAAACTGGAATGGTCTATGGCCCCATCAACCAGGGCTGACAAAAGTTAGGTGGGAGAAGATGCTTTGTTCAGCACTCAGCTGCCCAGCTTGTATAAACAAGCTAATCCTCTTGAAACTGGTACCTCTTGTTTATTGACTAGGCCTTCCACAGTATGCTTCATCCAGCTTCTTTATAACCCTGAGACCCTTGAACCCAGATACAGCTTCAAAACCAGGTTTCTAAAGTCAGTTTGTTTTGTCAGTTACGGTACTTCGAAACCTTATTCTACTTGATCCTTCTAAAACAACCCCAAGTTGTATTTCTGTGGAGTCCCTGCTGAGGTAGAAGAGTAGTGGCTTATGCTTGGTTATGTTTAACAGCAGAAGCTCATTAAGACCTCTTAGCATTCCTCCTCCCCTCCCCAGGAGGTAGAGTCTTGATTCTACTAATAATCCCTTAGTCTACACGCCAGATCTAGGTTTTTGTCCAAAATCCTTGCAGATTACAAGTTACCTTCTTGCTATCTCTTCATCATTTCTTTTGACATAATCTAGCCAGCAAGCAGGAACTGCACCATCAGTACTGTTTCCAGAACAAGCTGGCTTTCTCAGGATGTGGAATTTATTGCTTCATTGTCCAAGCAAATTCATGCTTCTGTGGTGCTCACATATTGCTAGCCTTGCTGAATAAAGTCCACAAACATTCCCAAGAACTTGGTTAACCCAGCAGGTCACACAAGTGTCCTAGCAGTGTAAAGTTCGCTGGGACAGAAGAGCATCAATAGGAGAGAAAAATCTGTAGGTTTGGCAACAATACTCAATATCTACAGCATATTACGCACTTTCATTTACTTTGTATCTCAAGCTATGGTTTTTATCCACAACATCCTGTCCAGACACCAACCCTTGATTCCCCCTTCCTTGACACTAAGTGCATATATTTTCTTTACCACAGAGACAATAATCTAAGAGCTCTTTTTGCCACCCTTTGCATATATTATATTCACCTGTTTAGAGTGCTTCTTTCCATATCTGCTTGTGACATAAAGGCCTTAAGGAAGAAGTATATCCATAGCAGCTACTGGTCTGCAGGGTCCGACAATAGGGTTATGCAGGCACTTTGACAAGTAGTACACTCCTCAATGAGAAAGTGGGTTGTGTACTGCAGATGTATAGAGACACTTAGAAACACAGCAGAAGGCACATGTTAGAATGGATAACCATCTCTACCTTCACAAAAGGAAACTGATGCCAGATTTTTGGCATTTGGCCCATCCTTCCAACTGATAGTACTGAGCACAACCTCTGGTGCTCAGCCAATAGCTTTGTTTGAAGTAAGAGCACAAGAGATGAGAAGTATCTTAAGTCACAGGACTATCAGAGTAGTGCTTGTCATTCTCCCAGTATCCTGTCTACAGTGACAAGCACACAAGACCCTGTTAGATTCCCCTCAGCAGAACCATCTCTTCATTTAAGACTTGGAGCACCTGCCATTCACTCCACTTTAGCCTGAGCCTTCCTATACTCCAAGTCATGAGGTTTGCTAGTTAAGCTTCTTGTTCTGATGGTTCACCTGACATTCATTTAGCACTCACATCCTCCTTACCATTTCTACCACTTGGTTCTCCTTCTCCAAATGCAAACTTCGGTGAGTTACTTTTAATAGAAATTTCTGCTTAGACTTGACCACAGCCTCAGACCATTCAGAGAATTTTGGCAACCTGATTATGCTTCAAGAGCCATTGTGTTGGATGCAACTGCAGTGATTCTTTGAACAGATATGGTGGATGACTCCCTCAGACAATCTCCTTCTCAGCAGAAAAGATTTTCTTTGGATTCTGATTCACCTCTCCAATTAGCCACCTACTACTGCCTCATTCACCTCCTGGAAGCTCCTAATGGAAGCTGATCTGAAGACCTACTAGCATTGTAACTGCCTAACAGGTCACTATCAGACACATATTTTCAATTTACCAGTGCCTAGTAAGTCTTCACAGCCAGCTAGAATACATGCTTCAGAATTACTTTTCTCTAATTGAATCCGCATCTCTATTTTGCCTATCTACACAGGTGTTCCCATCCCTAAGCATACTTACGCCCATTCGTTAGCACACAATGGGCAAATCTAAGCCTACATGCTCTCAGATTTGGTCCATTTTGGGTAGCCTTGTTTATGGAAGTTACAGAAGGCAAAAATGTAGCATTAAGGCTAACTACCTTCATTAAGAGAAGATTAAAACAATTCCTTAACACCCCCCCCAAAAAAAAAAAAAAATCCAGTTAATCCTACCTTACCAGTGGTTTTGCATGCTTCCCTAGCAAGTGCTCAAGTAACCAGCCTCAGCTTATCTGAGGGGTAGAAGCTCTGCTACAGAGAAATCCAGTTGTATTTGGCAACACCTGCATTTATCTTACTGCTCAGAGCACAGGCACTACCCCAACATAAGTGTCATCATATGATGATCATTAGACTTTAAGTCTCACCAGCTGAGAAGTCAGTTTCTCTGACAAGGTAGAAGACTAATTCCAGTTAATCCTGGACATCTTAAACTATACCCATTTACCACAGACACAAGTAGCATCCCGATATTTACGGGCCGACAGTGTGCCCGGCAAGGATGCTCCATCCACAACCAAAACAAAAACCCACCCCTGCTTCACAGCATCCTAACCCTTTCCTCCTCTCTGCTAATAGAGAGATTCTTTCATAACAGTTATTTACGTGAAATTTAGTGTTTATATACTTTTTCCTCTTAATTCCCTCCTCTCCACACACAAAAATGAAAATGCACGCTTATTTTGCTTTGTACCCAAGCTTCCTCAGGGCGCCGGCCCTGCCAGCGCCCGGAGCAGGATGCAGGCGGCTTCCGCCCCGTCTCAGCCGGGGCACGCTCCCCGCAGCCCGGCTCGGGCAGCGCCGAGCTCCCCGCACC